AGGCAAGAAACAGGTGACGGTCACACCCGATGCGTGGAAATGCGAATACCACCATCATGGCGCAAGCGGAAAAGTACAGGCTTGGCACATACTTGGGATTATATATATATATATATATATATATATATATGCATATATGCATATATGTACATATATATATATATATATACATATGTATGTATGTATATATACATCTGATGGATTTGATATGCATACCTTGGAGATTGTTTGTAAGCAAGACAAGATCACCGAGGCTGTAGCGGCCCTCTCCGTGTGAGAGGCGCGTCCGGCTGGCTCCGCCGCCGCTGATCTCCGCTCACCGGTATGCTAGCACATATGCTCCCCTGGGGGTCACCCAGCCAGCCGTGGCCGTGACAATAACGTCCTTGAGGGCGCCAGGGGTCAGCGCACCTCATGGCCGCTGCAGGACGACGCCGGGTTCAGCTGGCCGTATATGGCCAACGTCGCAGTCACGTGCAGCGCTACACACATGCCACCAGTTCAGTGCACCGGTTAGGATGGGTTTTCAGCGCCTCAGCAATATTATTAAACGTGCGCTTGCCTTGCACTTGCCCGTGAGAACGCCAGATAGCCCCCGTTAGAACAATATCCGACCGTGACCTGTGTCAATGATTGGGCAGATTTACCCGTTGTGCCTAACAGGCGCCGCCTCAGGATGTATTGCCCTGACTCGCAAGCTCTAATTAATGATGTGCCGATGTAGCGTGAGTTACGCTGAAGATGTGACAGCCCATCATTATGCAGATATTATTTTCCGTTGTTGTCATTGTGAGAATTGTCAGTATGACGCCTGAAATGAAGGATGATCTGTCCACAAGAACACATGCCACCACTCGCACATGTGCATTGATGGCAGGCGCAGACAAACAGGCTACACATCGCGCATACTACCGTGTCAGTGCACGTGCATGCTGCAGGAGCTCGGCTGAACTAAGCCATAAATGCAGCATTTGATTTTCCATTTTGATAGCGTATCATGTTTGTACCGGCCGGCCAACTTTCACCACGGTTTAGCCGCAATGTAATTATTATATTTGATAATGTAGGCACAACGCCATCGCGAAATATTGTTCTTTCAATTCAAGCAGCCTTTAATCAGCGTGGACCAAAGGCAGAGCGAGCGTCGCGCGTAAATCCATTTGCTATAAAAGTCAGTCGGGGAACGTGCACCGTATATGCTTGACGCTGATAACGGACCCAATGTACTCAGTCGTGAATACCGACAGTTTAGCGGGCGCTCGTAAATCGCTACCTTCTGTTCAGTATGACGGCCGGGCCCCCACTTGCGTTGGACCCCTGACCGCCGCACTGACCCCATCAGCGGGCGCGCGGCGACGCGACGGTTTCACTTTTCTCACCGCCGCTCCGCTCAGGTCGGGAGGTCACGGCAGGGCAGAGCTGAATGAGGGGGCGGGGGCGCCGAGGCCCACCTCGCTCGCGCAAAACCCGCCTGTCTAGGCTGCCGAGGATCGGAGCAGCCGCAGTGGTGGGAACCGGCACGCGTCAGGATGGGTGTTATTAGCATTCCGACGGCCGGACGCGCGCTGCGGCGCGCTATTTTCAGTCGATGTTGAATAGTAGCCTTATAGGGATTGCCCTACGTTTATGGGAGCGGAGGGGGCAGGGGGGTGAACTGAAATAGCCATCTAGAAGACCTTTTGGTGCTGTTCACAACCCTGCCCTTTTTAAGACCTAAGCCCCTTTAGTTTATGAGCTAAACGCCCGCGAAAATGGGGGAACTATTTCGGGGGGAATATTTCAAAGTGACCTTGGCATTCATGACATGATAATCCAATTCAAATCCTGCCACTCCTTAAGCCATGCGGCGATCAAGGCCAAGAAAATATATTATCAAGGCGTTCATATCTGGCGTTTGTGAACACGATTTACAGATATGACGGCCGTCAATTGGTTGTCGATCAATATTGTGCAACGTGCGATGGCGAAATCAAACCATGACAAGTTGAGAAACATATTCACCAAACAGAGAATTTAGCTGTCTTGAGCGGTCTTTTCCATTTGAAAAGCATACCAATAGTTATAAGTGAGCTTGCTTCATCATAACTGATGCTTGCTTCAGTATCTTCAAACGTCAAACGTTCCCGGTAAATGAAAAACTGCTCTACAGCCGTGGAGTTCCAGCGGCTTTATGTGGGACGTAGAGCACGGCAGCACACGGTCTGCGAGGCGTGCTCGTCTTAGATCGTTAAGTCGTGCGAAACAGATCGGCTGAGGTTGGCAATGTCCGAAAGCGACACGGGCAAAATGAGATCTGGACAACCTATAAGAGAACGGGAAGTAATCGCTGGTGCTCACCGTCGGCAGCCAGTGGGGCAAGAGCCACGTTTATGGTCGTCTCGAAGCCACGTCATGGTGCATGCTGCGCGTCATGTTGTATATGAGTGTCTGATTTGTTGTTACTTGGAAGTTCAACGGGAATCCCGCCTTGCGGTAGGCTGGCGTGACTTGTCGTCATCAAGTCGCCAGTCCAGGCGCTGGGGAAGAGTGGGGAGAGAATATCAAACTCAATGAAATAATTCAGTCGTGAATGTAGCTAAAAGACACGTGCCAGTTCGTCCAGGCGCATTACCCCTTCAACACGGTGTTCAAATACTCGTGTAATAAAACCCATGCATTTAACTGTCATTACTGGGATCCCGTTATGTCTGTGAGCATGCAATCGGGTGGATTGCGTGTTGGTCTATGAGTCACAACTAAATTTGCACTTAAATGCCCAGCTGTTTCCTTTCATTCAAGAGTTAAAGAGTTCATTTACCAAGGAAATAATGCGCGCGAAATTAGTTCGTTGCGTGAGTGCTGAGCTGCCTGCATCTCCATCACGCAGGTGATAGTGCAAGTGGCGTAGCATGAGTTGTGCATTTCTCCGTCGTCACTGAAACGAATAACAGCATTGTGGGTAGACTGTTGGAGTATTGCGCAACACCACTGTAAATTACACATCGCTGCTCAGTACGCATCATGGATCTATAAGCTAAGGCATATATATATATATATATATATATATATATATATATATATATATATATACATGCATGGGCAAAGCAACTGCGACACAAAGGCCTACGCAAGGTAGGCGTGAGGACATAATTTGCTTCTGGGGGCGGGAAAACGCTAGTTTTTTTCAAAACTGCAGTGGGTTTTGATCGAATGAAAGCAACATCAGCTAGCATCTAGCGTGTAACTCAGAAGTGGTGGAGATGGGGGGCGGGGGGCGGTAAGGGCCTCCAGCCCATGGGGCTTTACCATCCTCAATAGATTCATGCGCATTTTTTTCACCACAAAAATTCTGATAAGACAGTAGTAATAGCATTGTTCCCCATCGAAAAAACAGGAAAATGGAGAGATTGATGCGTTCTGTAACGTATCTTTTTACCCATTCTACTGGTTTATTTACAAAGAATAAGGCTATTACTAGCATCTGATCTGCATGCATAATATTCCTCGCAAATGCACTTAACTAACAAAACGACTGAATATAATTCCGAAATTTAGATATCACGACACATGCTTTGAGTTTAAATCTCGTTGACCTTACCATGGCAGCGACACGTAGAGCTCATCAGCCATAATTTAGCGAACGGCCTGGTGGATAGCTGAATAAATGTATGACACGAGGCTGAAAAGCGTTTGAGGCACCAGGGCAATCCAAGATCGCTCAGTTAATGATCAATAGCTTATTGAACGGATCTAAACAGATTCACATTAAGTACTGCGTCTATTGTATTTTGTGGCGTCTGTTAGTTTGTTTGCTGTGCGTATATGCTGCCAGTGGGTCTTAGACTCGCTCGTTAAGATTAGCTCCGCTCATCTGATATTGTTTTACCCCAGCACGTCGCACCAACTCCGCCTGTATTATTAAGAATGGCATGCAGCCCATGGCCCAGCCCATACGCTGTTTTGTTTGGGCCGGTTCTGTGTGAAAGCATGTCATGTGCGTCGCATATTTGTCTTCACACACGCATGAGTCACAAGCGCAGAGGCGCAGTGAGCCTACTCTCATTGTCCCTTCAGACCACGACCAGTATCTGACTTGGCCGAAGACTTCTCTCTCTCACCCTCTCTCTCTCTCTCTCTCTCCCTCTCTCTCCTCTCATTCGTCTCTCTCCCATCCTCTCATCGCTCTCTCTCTCCTCTCTCTCTCTCCGTGGCCTCTCTCTGCTGCTCCGTCAGTCTACTCTATTCTCTCATCTCCTCTCTCTCTCCTCTCTCTCTCTCTATTCTCTCGCCTCTCTCTCTCTCTCTCTCCTCTCGCTCTCTCTCTCTCTCTCTCTCTCCTCTCATCTCACTCTCTCTCTCTCTTCTCTCTCTCTCTCTCTCTCTCTCGTTCATCTCTCTGCCACAACACACCTCTTCTCTGGCTTCTTAGTCATGTTGAGGGTATGCCCTGAACACGGACATCTGGACTCTTCCCGGTCGCAAAGTCTACCTGCACACCTGCGTAACCTTGTTGGCCGCGCTGCAGCAGCAGGTCTTGTAGTGCTTTGCATTCCTCACAATAATGGTTTATTAACCTTCGTAATTAATATACTTATTTGACCTACCCTGACAAGTCAACACTGAAGCGCAAAAACTTGGTTTGCCATAATCTGCCTCGACCTGGCAGGTAAACCACCGAAACTTGTTTCGAGTAGAAGTAACATCTTATGCACGGAGTCACCAATTTTCGTTGCAGCACGCCGGACATGACATCGGCGGAGACGTGCCCCGCGACGTGCTAGCGTCTCCGCCAACCCCCGCGACGTGCTGACGTGAGAGACTATGTGCCGACGAGGAGTGACTTGCGCGGTCCAGTCCAGGCCTCGCGTCTTTTATCATGTACAGACACAGTCCGTCTGCTGGCAAAAGTGTCCGCCTGGGTCCACAGACTCCCCGCTCGCCAGCGCTAACAGTAGTGTCCGCCTGTGTCCACAGACTCCCCGCTCGCCAGCGCTAACGGAAGTGTCCGCCTGTGTCCGCAGACTTCCCGCTCGCCAGCGGAGAGGCGATGCCTTCCCATCGGAACGGAGGGTTCGTCGGTGACGCGGAGGTCGACTCACCAGCTGCCCTCGAGATGACCCGGCCGGGGGTCGAGGTCAAGCGGCTGTGCGTACTGGGAACGGGCGACTTCGGCCGGGCGCTGACCCGGCGCGCGGTGGCGGCCGGCTTCAGCGTCACCCTCGGCACCAGGAGCAAGGAGAAACAGGCGTGAGTGCATCTCGGCGTCAGGACAGGCGTGAGCAGACCGACGTGAGCAGATAGGCGCGTAAATGTGTTTCCATAGAAGATATTGACGTCAAAATGGAGAACGGCTTTCAGAAGCTATTGGCACCAAGATCACGGGGAAAAGGCGTGCGTGGGCCCCACATGGCTGAAAGGGAAACTTACTGTGAGATGGCTTAGGCGTCACGAAACAAGAAACACAGTTATGTGTAAATCGGAAACATAGGACCTAGCAAATTGAGAGCGAAGTCAGCTATACAAGAAAACGCGCACGGTTGGAGCTAACCACCTGTAAATAATGTTGCGATAAAATATATGTCAGCAGACGAGCCAATGGCAAAGGCATCGTTCGCCGCCGATTGGGATAGCAGCCTTTAAAGGCTGGCCATTGGTCGAAACTCGGAACCTTTCTCGTCTAACCTTTAAACGTCTGTGGCCGAGGTTTTGAGAGCACGGAGTCAGGTATTGCGTTACTCAGTAACCGAGAGTGGCACTAGTGGGTAGCTATTAGTGAAACGGTGCACTGCGGGACAAAATACGTGTAGGTGGTCTCAGAACGATAACTGACTTCGAATTGTTAACCTGCGTCGGTCAAGTAATGACCGAGGCCACTGAACAAAATTGCATCTCACGGCCATTAAATTCAAACAAAGCTTAGAACAAGTGCGGGAGCCATTTGTGCGCCACGCAAATGGAGTGAAAACAGATAGGTGCAATTCATGTTTTCACTTGGAGTGCCCATGACCGACACCCTCGGGTGGAAACGGAGCTTGAAATGGCGCACTTTTAGTGTGGCAGACGGCGCCTTTTGTTGTAGCGGTGCTTGAATTACCGATCAGACCACTCATCAACCCCACGGTGCCGCTCATGCATATTCATAAACAAAATGAAACGAAGATAACTCTGCGCCGGATGATGTTGCGTTGGCACGTTAATGCCTCGCTGTTCCATTAAGTGCAATTTAAGAGCCGCCTAAAAGCATGTTATTAATCGGTTCGACCACACTCCGAGTTTGTTCTTGTGTACGCGTTTTGCCACGGCCCATACCACGTGGCTGGAATGGGCGCTAAAGCCTGGGGTCTACCGCGAGATCACGCCGTGTTAGTAGGTCACCACACCGACCGGTGGGCGGGGTGAGCCGAACCAGTCCCTTCACCAGACCTCCCGCGCTCCCACCATCTGCGCGCGCCGCCTTTCTGCCTCACCGCGCGCTGCCGGGCGGATGTCTGCCGTCGCCGGCTCGGGCCCGACCTGGCCGGCCGCGGCCGACCCGTGTCATGTGGCTGCGGCCATCCGAAGCTCCCATGGCTGCCGTGGTCCCGCGCCATTACCGGCGGGCCAGCTGGCGTTCTCACGCATAAGCACATGTCAGCGCAACGCTGGGGCGGAGCGGGCTGCGTAATGACGAGTGCCATGGCTGCGCTTCACTGCAAGCGGCGCCCGGGTCCCCGCAGTGAAAGCTGTGCACTTGGGAGTGGGAGAGAACCCTGCTAAATAGAGCATGCGTGCCCTTGGTTATTGTCCGAGCTCGTCGGTTTGAACGCATTATGTGAATATTCGAGATCGGTGAACATCTGAAGAGCACCGCGCCGCAAGTCACACTTCCGATATGTCAGGGGCGACCTCTCCCCCCTCCAACTTAAATATGTCTGCTCCTCGGCACATTCGGCTCGTTTTATCACAACATCCATACCCTGGTCCCTTCATCAAATCTTACTGCTTCGATACATACATGGCCAACCCTTTCCACATTTGTTACAGGCCATGCCCCACCGCCACCCCCCCCCCCCCCCCTCGTGGCCATATATGATACATGTGCGACTCGCTGCTTGAAACGGTTTCAACCCGACTTGTATTCTTCCAGTTGAGTACGCGCCTGCTGTAGTGGTTTTGTCACATCCACCATTTAGCGCCTCTGAAACCTGACACGGGGCACTGTTCCGGTGCTGAGGCACCCACAACCTGCGCGAGGACCCGGCCCCGCTCCTGTCGAGGCCGGTCACGGTCAGCCGCTGGAACACAGTGCCGTTCAATTCCCGGCGGGCAACGATTGGCAGCCATTGGAACGCGTGGTGAAAGGGTGACAAATCGGTTTATGGTGCTTTTCGTTACATAAATTGGACCATGTCACGCAGTAGCGGGGCGGCAGCCATCCCCACCACAAACGGGGCGAGGCAGCGCTTGCAGATATCGGACAGTCGGACAATTCGCCTCAGCGGGATTCTGGTGCGGCGCAGTTGTGACGCTGCAATGCGCTTGCGGCGCAGTTGTGACGTTGCTGTGCTGTACTCATCGCATACCGGCCCCTCATGCCAACCTTTTGGCCAGCTGAGTGATCACGTCGTCAAGACGTGACTGTCGTAAACGGTCTGTGCAGTTTCGGGCACCTTGCGTTTTTCGCGCGTCTGTTGCTATGGTACAGAGCAAATTTGAAGCCGGGTACGTTTGTAGACAGCTTTGACAGTATTTGCCGGTCCCTTGGCTATCGGGAAAGCCGGAATGATAATTTAGCTGCATACGTCACGTGTGGATCCCCTGTGTATCGAGGGAAAACTAATTTAGACGCTCATTAAAAAAGTAAACAATTGTTTTTCTCACATCCGGCTGCCTACATGCATTTCAAAACCTCACCGCCTCCCAGCACGTTAGCATTGATTGGTGTGCAACATCTTTCAGCTATGACACTCTGAGGTAGGTGCAGAACCCATGTGATCTTTTCTTTCCGAGATGGTGTACGTAATACTTTCTTCACGACTTTCCATGAATCTTTCAAAACTGTATATGCATATATATATATATATATATATATATATATATATATATATATATAAATTATCCATATCCGCCCGCATGCAGAACCCTGCGGCTGCTTATTTATACCGAAAGGTATCATTCATATCTTTCTGCAATACTAGTCAGACGGAGAGAGACGGCATCTTGGGGCTTTCGGAACCTCCAAGTGGGTAACTAGCAACTCACACCATACATAAGGTTTAATGCCATCATACATCATGTTATAATGACATCATATATTCGATTGATCGCAAATGCTCATTTTGACATATCATATGCCATCTTGTTACGATATACCAGTCGCTCATAATGGAAAAACAGGTCCTCATGTGAACAATCACGATTCTGAAGCCAGATTTGACTGTGACACCACAAGTGACGGATTTTAATTTTTCAAGTGACGTGACTTTAACTATGCAATTCTGGCTTGTTGAGGATTTCATTTGCATGGCTTGATTGTGTAATAACAGTTACACCGAAATGCAATCATCTGTGATATCTATGCGGACTAGTGAGTACTCTATTATCGTGAGTTTAACCGCGCCCTACCAGGGTGACACGATTTTCGACCACCCCTCTCCCAGATCCGTGTAATCATTGAGCAGTATAAAACGACGCGGTAGAGACCACCATACTCGAGCACGTTCTCCAGTGGTGTTCGGATTTTCGGTTTTTGATCAGTGGATGACTTCCTACGTCACAAAACGTGCCTGAGGGCGGGCACAGGAAATGCTGGCTTTCCGGCCTACACGCCAGAGCTACGGAGCACAACGCCACGAATATGACACCATACCGTGCTCTGCGTATCGGGCATGCAGCTGCGTATCGGTGAAACGCGTGCGGCCAATCTGCAAAGCTCCCAGTATGGGGTCAAGTTTAGGATGGTGAATACCAACGATTTTGTACCAATGTTTTCGTCGTCAATGAATACCAATGTTTTCGTCGTCTCGTTGGCCGGAAATGATGCATAATAGTAAAAGGGAATATTCCCCAGTTGAAAATAATCAAGCAAACATCATTCATGATGAAATAAGCCCGCTTTAAGCGGAAAAGACGGCGCAAGGTAACACAATTTCTCTGTGTAATAAATGTGTTCGGCAATAAGCCATTGTTTGATTGCGTCATCGTATCTTGCATAACATTGATTGGCAGCCAATTGACGGCCGTTATGCCTGGAAATCGTGCTCACGAACGCCAGATGTGAACGAACGCCAGTTGGCTTTCTTGGCCTTGATCGCCGTATGACGAATGGAATGGCGGGATTTGAGTGATGTCATTACGTCCTGGATGCTTTGTTGACTTAAAATAGCATGCACGAAACAGTGCACACCTTCGCAGGTATGTAGCTCGGGAACTAGACGGGGTTAGGTCTTAATAAGCGCAGGGCTGTGAACTGCATGTAATGATCTCCGGGATGGCTTTTCGGTTAAAACCCCATGCAAATATAAGACCCTCCCTTCAAAATGATACAAACAAGATTTTTAGATCCAGTTCAGCACAAAGGTGATCGGGGGAACGACGGCTGGTCAAACAGGGTCATCCGAGATCACTGAACTCACTTGACCCCGGTCACCCTGCGACTTGCCTGCTTGATTCACCGTTACGCAGAGACCTCACTTCATGCTATTTACATATCGGTAACGATGCTCCGGTCGCACCCTGTCATTCTTTCGACACTATCTATCCCCTGTTGTTCGCTTCACCCATGAAACCCGATGCGGCTCGTGACCACCCTCGCCTGCTACAATGATCAAAGTGGTTAAAAGCTTAGACATTGTTATGGTTTTTAGTATAACTGGACTGCTAGAGGAGAACTGTAGCTGCGTGGCGTCTCATAAGGTCATGCCAGGCCGCTGAATTCCAGCCACTGCTTGCATTCTAAGAGGTCAGAAGTCAACTGACCACCTAATCATGCCTGATGCAGCCTGCTTACTGCTTCAAGGGTGATGGCTGACCAAGTGAGTCTTCATTCACCTCTTGGCTTATGAGGGGTGAAAGAAACGAATGGCTTTTGAAGGCTTCCTGTGTTACACCATAGCTGTTTGCTTACCTGAGCTAATTGTATTCCAGCTAAATACAAGCAGTTGCTATATACACAATGTTTGGTCAAGTTACATGCGTTCTCACAAAAAACGGCCCACGAACATGCGTCTTATCGCACAGGCATTTAAAAGGCCATTAGACACTTAAGTCGCACATGACATCTGTCGATCAAGGCGAAAAAGAGCTGGAAAGACAGTCTGGGTGTGTGCTGCGTGCATTTTCATACGCTCTAGACTTCAGACATCTGTAATTCCTAGATTTAGTGCAAAAATGTGCCACCGGGGCTAATTTCTTATCACATTTTTACCTGTCCTGTGATGTTAACGGTGACGCGTAAGTGCACACGTCGTCGGAGATGCACAGGTGCACACGTCATAGGTGACGCGTAGGTGCACACGTCATGAGAGATACATAGGTGCACACGTCTTCGGAGATGCACAGGTGCACACGTCATAGGTGACGTGTAGGTGCACACGCCATGAGAGATGCACAGGTGCACACGTCATCGGTGACGCGTAGGTGCACACATCATGAGAGATGCGTAGGTGCACACGCCATGAGAGATGCACAGGTGCACACGTCATCGGTGACGCGTAGGTGCACACGTCATGAGAGATGTGTAGGTGCACACGTCGTCGGAGATGCACAGGTGCACACGTCATAGGTGACGCGTAGGTGCACACGTCATGAGAGATGTGTAGGTGCACACGTCGTCGGAGATGCACAGGTGCACACGTCATAGGTGACGCGTAGGTGCACACGTCATGAGAGATGTGTAGGTGCACACGTCGTCGGAGATGCACAGGTGCACACGTCATGGGTGACGCGTAGGTACGCACGTCATGAGAGATGTGTAGGTGCACACGTCGTCGGAGATGCACAGGTGCACACGTCATAGGTGACGCGTAGGTGCACATGTCATGAGAGATGCGTAGGCGCGCACGTCATGAGAGATGTGTAGGTGCACACGTCGTCGGAGATGCACAGGTGCACACGTCATAGGTGACGCGTAGGTGCACATGTCATGAGAGATGCGTAGGTGCACACGTGACGCGATGACGCGATATCGATGACGCGTAGGCGCACACATGCTCTTTTTATGAAGAGACGCTGGGGATTCCAATCACGGTTAGGTACAGTTACAGGTACAGGTCATCACAGGTGCGATCAGTTAATTGGTCGTGAAGATGCGAATGGGACAACGAAGCCAGCGTGAAGCGACTGAGGAGAAATATCACGGCTACTGCTTTGCTACTTGGGTTAACTTTCTCGGGTGGGATTGGACTCAAATACTTGCACCCACTGGCTTGTTACGCGGATAATGACCTAACCAAGACCTCTAAGCACACAGGACTGAGGATTCATGACGTACCATGCAAGGTCATGACGCGGCTTCTCATTGATACGTAGGTCGTCGCATTCCTTTCTTGTAAATAGAAACTCGCGTATTAACGGAAAGGCGTGACATAAAGTTACGAAGTTATACGCGTAATGGCTAGTCAAAGGTGTCGTTCAGTGCTTCAAAAAGTGAGCTGGGCGGATGCTTATCAGGCATATTACCATAAAAGCCGTGCTTTTCGAGGTTGTGCTCCAGGTGAATGTGTTCACTATGAGGCAATCTCAGGAACACCTGATGCCTAGCACGCGGCTTGGCGTCACTGTCTTCCCTAAGGCAGGTTAGGTTAGGACATTCTATTTCCGAGCCACTGTGATAATAATCTTGACACTTTTATGAAATTCTTAAGAAGCTTTGCATGATAAGCAAAAAATGAAACAAAACCTAAAACTTGCTGCGTAACGCTACATACTATAGCAAAATGCAGACATTTTAACCACCTGTCTTCGCGAAAGTGCAGACATGGCGTGGAGGGCGGCTATGATTTTTTAAAGTATATCATTTTTGGGACAATAGGTAGTGATGAGCTGCATTGTCATTGGGGGGCCACTTTGGCAAATAATCATGTCCTTTTTTCTTCAGTTGAATTTAACGTGACAGTTGGAGTTTAAGTGTGTTACCGGAGATCGTTTTGAAGTCTTAATTTCAGAAATGAGTTTGCTTATCCAAATCCTGGTACAAATGGTCACATGCGCACTTCTGGAATAACACACAAGGCCACCTTGACCTGAGACGGTCATACTCAAGCCTTCCCTTGAATCGCATCGTAACCCCTAAGCGAGCTGGTTACCTCCATCGACGAGCTGGGCACCTGTTGTGCCGCGTACGTCAGGTCTAACCACAAAACGCGTCATGTCTGGATGGTGATAGGCCACCGATCATCAGCCAGGACTGCTCCCAGAGCCACCGGCTATCACTGGCTGCCGGTGCTGCCACCTATAACCAGCGACGTGAGATCACTGCGCGGAGGCAACGCCCTCTGCCCCCCCCCCCCCCCCCCCCGGCTCCTGTATCAAAGGGGAAGCGAGTGGTTGGAGACCGATTGAAGCGAGAGGGCCTGGCGATGACGGAATAACGGCGTCCTCGTTCGTTACATGTCTAGGAATGGTAAGTGTAAGCTCGCTGCTTCAAGGGTGTTAACGCGTGGACGTACATAGAAGTTACCATTGGGCTGAATCGACCAGCTCCACGCCACGGCGCTCTTAAGCTACCCTCGCGTCTATATATGCAATCCAGTGGCCCTTAAACCATCTCATCTTATGATCAGCTAAGTATTGCATAAAGAGTCTGAAAATCATAGATCAGTTCACCTCTCTCTGCCTCTCTATCTCTCTCCTTCCCTCCCCCCCTCTCTCTCTCTCTCTCTCTCTCTCTCTCTATCTCTCTCCTCTCTCTCTCTCTCTCTCTCGCTCTCTCTCTCTCTATCGTACGAACGTATCAACCACGCTGCTTTGTTTTTTAATGCTCCTCGTACATCCCAATGAAGCTCCTTGCTCTCTTTCCGGTGTGGAAGGCTACATAAGACGGATACCAATAGTGATCCCAGACATACGGACTATTCGGGACACAAAAAAGCGACTTGCCTCGTCCTGTGCGCTAGGAGTCGGAGGGAGGGTTGTCATTACCTGAGGAACCCCGTTTAACGGATTATGCGTTCCGGTGCTCGGAAATGCTTCCCCTTCGTTCTCCTTCTCTCATTCGCACTCATCTCATCTTAACGACGTTTTGCGAGCCATTATATCTTGCAGTCAGTGTATGCTGGCGTCAAACTTTTAGCAATATTTCATGTTCAGCCGACCATGTATACGACTGCAGCCGGGTCTTGATGACCAGCAGCCTAGTCCGTCGGAAATGGGGCTAACGGCCATCCTAATAACGTCAAATTTTCAAATGTTTCAATTTGACCCCCCAGTTACGAAGCAGTTGGGCTCAAGTATCGCCATTGGTACATGAAACCTCGAACCTGTTTTTTTAATCAATGACTTAGGAGTAAAGATCGATAACGAAGTACACTTACCCGTATCTGTCTAAAACATTTAGCCACGCTAACCGGGCATCCCACCAATACACGCCTTCAATTCATATACGTTCCAGTAATGCAATATTCAAGTGACGAGCGCTGTTGACAGCTTATTTTGCTTACGTACGATCCGTGTATGGATACAGCACTAGCGTCATTTGATATCGGAGAGAGACCAGATGCCCATGCGGTGCGGGGCCCGCACCATTGGAAATCGTTTCGTTAGAATCTTGTAAAATGTAGCGTGATGTCATATCAAATAGCCGAACAGTTGAATGCACGTTATGTTTTAAAGTTCATGCTGGCCGCTGCGACGCTTGCTGTAAATATGAAGCTTGAAATGGCTCGCACCTATAGCCGTCTTTGGCACCGCGAGCGCGTATAAACGGTGTGATGATGCTTATCTCCTATGCAGGCTGCCGGGAGAGGCAAGCCTTTTTTATACTAATTCGTGCGAGACAGCCTTTTTGAGGACAGTCTACACCTATTCAAGTCTGAGTACCTCTGCCATGCTTCATATTGGTATCTTGGTCCTTTATATCGTATTATTACTTTAAAATGGGGCACTGGTCCGAATCATGGACATTAAATGCTGACCTCAAGGCTCGTGGAGCACAGGTCTGTTCGTGATCAGCTGGATATAGGCCTGAATAAATTGCCCTCCTGTGCGGCACAGACCACTCCGGAGCAGTGATGACCGAAAGCCTGCGCCACCAGACCACTCCGGAGCAGTGATAGCCGAGAGCCTGCGCCGCCAGACCACTCCGGGGCAGTGATGACCGAGAGCCTGCGCCACCAGGCCACTCCGGGGCAGTGATGACCGAGAGCCTGCGCCACCAGCCATTCCGGAGCAGTGAGTGATGGCCGAGAGTCTGCGCCACCAGACCACTCCGGAGCAGTGATGACCGAGAGTCTGCGCCCCCAGACCACTCCGGAGCAGTGATGACCGAGAGTCTGCGCCACCAGACCACTCCGGAGCAGTGATGACCGAGAGACTGCGCCACCAGACCACTCCGGAGCAGTAATGACCGAGAGTCCGCGCCACCAGACCACTCGGGAGCAGTGATGACCGAGAATCTGCGCCACCAGACCACTCCAGAGCAGTGATAACCGAGAGTCTGCGCCTCCAGGGACCTGATGCGGCTGATCGAGGCCACTGGCGCCACCATCGCCTCGCAGGCGGACGCCATCAACTCGGCAGAGCTGGTGGTGGTGGCCGTGGCGCGTCGCTTTTACGACGCGTTGCCGCTGGCGCTGCTGCAGAACAAAGTCCTGGTGGACGTCAGCAACCGTGACGACGCGGTGCGCCGTCGCAGGTCAGCGGTGGTGACGGGCCCGGGCTGACTCCCCGGGGAAGCCGGGAGGGAGTTACGGTTGGGGGAGGCGGCCTGTGTAACGCGGGGACGGAACTGCCGCATCGTTTGTGGGGTGAGGGAGGCGGTATTGACACCCTCGATCTCCGGGACCGTGGTCACGGTTGTGGATTAGCGGTTTGGGCGAGGTGAGCGGTGAGGCGGAGGTACTAACGTATGTATTCTCAGGTTGAGTTGAAGCGATGCTGGCCATGCGAGAGCCTGATCGCGTGAGCGTTTTTTTGGCAACGAAGATGCAACGTCATGAAAAAATGGGTCACGCCATCCTTGATTTACGGCGATGGACTATGTATGCATTCCTAAGTGATTTCGAATGGTTTTTAAGTATAGAAAAGCCTTATTGGTCTTGTAGTCGCCAGTGATGAAACATGTGTTTGCAGCGTGCTCTCCAACGCAGTGAGTACCTGCAG